TCCCATTTTCTCAAAGAGGTCTTTCCTATTCCTTCCCCTCCACCCCAGTGCTAGTGCCTTCCCTCTGGATTCTATATCTTGTATTTACAGTGATTTGCATGCTGTCTCCCCTATTAGGTTGTGAGTTCTTGAAGGCAGGACCTGTTTTTGTCTTTCTTTGTATCCCCAGCACTTAGCACAGTGCCTGACACATATCAAGTGCTAAATAAATGCTTATTGACTGATTGATTGATTCTGCTGGCTTCCTAGTTTGGAGATCTTCCCAGGAAGACACCAAGACCCCTTGGAAGTGTTGTCCATCCTGAAAAGGTGATCTACCCCCTCTTCTCATATCCCCATTTCCGGTATCATCTGAACTAATCCCAAATTCCCAATCTAGCATGTGGGGAGGAGGACTAGTGAACCTGAACAAAAGAACTTGAAATGATCATGTTGGACACTTTATGATTGAAAGATGGGGGGCCCATCACTGTGACAGTGCTCAAAAAAAATTGTTGAATTCTTTATAGGGCTTCCTTTATTGTAACAGAAAGATGCCCATAAATAGAAAATGGGAAGGGGGTATGAGACACCTATTCATAACTCAGTGCTAGTAACTACAGTGATATTGGTCCTGGGATTCAGAAGTTGGGTTGTTGATTGATCTCAATTAAAAAAGGCTACATAAGACAAAACAGAACAACTCAGATTTTGGAGCTGTCCAACTAGAAAAATGGCTTCTCCATAATTGAGACATCATCACAGCTATTCTTTTTCCAACTGTCATACTATGAATCTTAATCATAGGTTCTTAACTCTTTCAGACTATCCATGCTTTCCAGAGACCATGTTCTCTTTTACTGTTTTCAGGGAGCCCATAGACTCACAGCTCACAACTCAGTCTATACCAGGGGTTGTTCTTTTTCTTTTTTTGCCTGTGTGTCACATACTCCTCTGGCAGACTGGTGAAGCCTATGGATCGCTTCACTGAATCATGTTTTTAAATGCATAAAATAAAATGTGGAGAATTACAAAGAAACCTATTATATACAGTTGCCAAAAATATATATTGTTTAAGTTCATGCACCCCCAAGCTAAGAACTCCAGGTTGGGATACTCGGCCTCACTTAATTTTAGTGTAGTTTAGACTTGATGAGTCATTAGCTTAACCTACCAACTGGCTCCTCTGTTCCCTTCTCTGGCATGCGGTAGAAAGGTGAGGCAGAGCTTCCTAGCGCTAAATACAACTCCCAGGCTTCTCTGAAGGCCTGAGTGACTCTCTGGGCCATGTCCTCCAAGCCTCAGGCCGTCTGCCATTGCTGAGGGAATTAAAGGGATTCTTAACCTTTTGCAGTCATGGGCCCCTTGAGCAGCTATGAACTGCTTTTCAGAAGAACACATAAAAGCATATAATCAAATACATTGAATTTAAAAGGAAACCAATTATATTCAAATATAGTTATCAAAATATATTAAAAATGAATGTCACAAGGGCAGCTAGGTGGTGCAGTGGACAGAGCTCTGGCCTTGGAGTCAGGAGGACCTGAGTTCAAATCCAGCCTCAGACACTTGACACTTACTGGCTGTGTGACCTGGGACAAGTCACTTAACCCCGATTTCTTCACCAAAGAGCAAAAACAAAACAAAAAAACCCTCCAAAAAATAAATGTCACAAATCTCCTGAAGCCCATCCACGCATACTCCTTTGGTGGTGGTGGTGGGGAGGGGGACTGATGTCCATGAAACCCAGGTTAAGAACATCTACTATAGAGGGAGAAAAAGAGTAGAAAACAAGCTTCTATGGAAAAGGGAGTTTGTCTAGAAATAACTAGTATCCTGTCTTTCCCCAACAGCCAAACCTGGGTTCCCAAAGAAAGTAGCATTAGGAAGCTGCTGTGAGAGGACCCTACCTGTTCCATCTGTAATACTGTGGACTTGGAAACAAAGTTGCTGCTCTCTGGTGAGAAAGACTTGCACTCCCCCCCACTGCAGAACACATCACTTGGGTCTTCCTACTTAGAGGCTATGAGCAGGTCTACTCTTTTTCTTGACCAAAGTTTGGACCGAAGCTCATCTACGGAATCCCTGTCATCCCCACTCCCAGTCCAAACTCCTTCAACTCACACAGCCTCCCTGTCTTCACCCAGGGTCCCAAACTCCTGGACTGAACAGCTCCAGCTGGAGAAGAAGGGCTTTGTAACCAAAATGTCAAGAAACCCTTTGGAGGAGACCTCGTTTTCCACTCCAGAGAAACCCAAGGACCCCCAAACAAAGCAAGATGCCAGTGACCACAGGGACCAGTCTGTCACATGGAGTAACAAGAATGAGGATTTTAAATCGAAAGTCGTCTTGCTGAATACTGAGTTCCTTCAGTTGACCAGACACTCTTCAACCGTACAGCAGCTCACAATTTTGCCTAACAACCGTTCATTTTTTAGCCCTCAAGTCCAGAAGCTTCTAGAGGTGCACATTCAAAAGAGAGTGCATTTCCAGAGATGGGGTCTCCCCCAGAGAGTACAGGAATCAATCCAACAACTCATGCCAGAAGCATGTCAACATTCTTGCCCTGGAATCAAATAGTCCCTTTCTTCCCAAAGGAAGTCTCCAACGTATCTATAGCAGAGGTGAAGATTGCAGCCACCACCCTTGGCACTGCGGGGGACAGATCAGCCTGCTCAGCCCTTCCTGGGCTCTGAGATGATCCCTCCTGTTTTAGGAAAAGCAGAGCTGAGGAGAACTTCTGAAGAGTCCCAAACTGCGTTAGCATGGCTCTGCCTCCTCCTTCCATCCCAGTCCTGACCAACTCCTGTCCCCTGAATGGGGGACTACTCACTTCAAGAAGAACTGTCTGCAACAGAAGTACAGTCAACTGTTCTGCGGTCTCCCCTCTCTGCACAGTGAATCCCTGGTAGCCACCTTTCTGAGGCACGACTGCCTCTCCCCACGCAGTAGCGTCTCCTCTTTGGACAGTACTTTCCTCTTCAATGAATTGTCCTTCCTCCCCTTGCTGCCACATTCTACCCCTCCTCCTTCTCCACCTATTCTGATTGGCAACAGCACCAAAGCCCCTGAAAAGACCCAAATCAATGTCCCATTTCTCCCGGTAGCTGAATGTGAAACCTTGGAGTGGCATCTACTACAGAGACAGCTCCAAATGCTATGGGGTCTACCCTCCTTCATCCAGATGAGTCAACAGTCCCAGAGACCCCTCGATCATGAACTCTGTGAGGCAGAACTTGTCCCCAAATGAATGTCTCTGTCCTCACAAGGGAGCTTTTTTTCTTGCCGGACCGTGCCAGGAGGCTCCTTGAGCTACATTTTCAGAAGCGGATCCTTCAGCATCAGCTAAGGCCACCTCAGTCATGCCAGAAGTCTGTTCCCTTGCTTCTGTCCTCAATTAACCAGCCACAAGTCCCTGAGAGCACCTCGATCGAAGTGACACTTCCCCAGAATGAAAATCCCCAACTCAAGATGGCTCAAGCACCTGCTCCCATTAGGACTCCTGCCCATTTCATCAAGCCTGAACCCTATGCCACAGCTAGGGTGACCGTGCAAATGCACATAGAGAAAAAATGTCTGCAGATCAAACAAGGGAGCTTTCCAGACATCATATCTGGGTCATGGGACATTGGGAACCAATTGTCAGCGGGAGACCCTCCTACCCAGAGAACTTTGGAAGCTGCCCACTCCAATATGGAGTCAGAAGGCTTGGCTTTCCAAGAGCCAAATACAATAGAATGGATGGAGCTGAGTGTGCACCAACAGAAACTAACACCGCTGCATGAAACCATGAGGCAGCCAGACCAGGCTGTGACCCTCCCAGAGAGCGTAATGGAGAAACTGCAAATGATTTTGAGACACAAATACTTGACTTTCTTATCAGGATTACCAGCTCTTTATTATGTGGCTCTCTATAGGGCAATGTCCCCTTTAGCTATTTCCCAAACGGATGTGCCTGGCATGGGGCAAGGGGTAGTAAAGGAACAAATTGACCCCATAAGCTACAGGATATGGGCTGAAGAACAATCAGTTCTCCCCAAAGCAGAGATTAATGATTCCGCCACGAATTCTAGGGACACTGGAAATGAATTAGTGGTTTCACAACAGATAAACGTCTCAGAGGCAGTACCAGAAAGAGGAGGTGATGAGAAGAGTCCACAGGGAATAGGTGAACAAAGAGGGTTTGACTGCCCACAGCGTCCCTATTCGCCAAGTAAGTCTGTCATCTTGGCCAAGATGGATTCCCACCTAAGGAAGAAGGTGTTAGAAGTAAGTATGGGGATTCCCCAGAAAGCTATAGATTCTAGGGAACTCTCTGAAGCTCTGCAATTTTCTTTACCTGAGCCTGGCTTAGGACATGTTCCCACAGCTGGTAGTCCAGAAAGCCCCAAAGAACTACAAAGGATTCTCGGCAGACCAGGGAGCCAAGAGTTCCCAGAAATGTGCTCATTACCAGCGGCAAGAGATGTTGAGGTTCCAAGCTGGACGTATTTTAAGGAGCAGCTCTCCAATAAGCTGGAGCTCAGTTTGACGAGAACATCAGAGTACCAAACTCAAAGCTCCCCCACAGCTCTTTCCCTGACATCCCCCCAGATCCCAGGCTTCCAGGTTTGCAAGGTTACCCCGCCACACTCCCCGAAAAAGCCCAGTAGGGGCATGGCTGATGCTCAAGTGCTCCATGTACATATGGAAGTAGAACAGAGAAGCCCAAGCCAAGGGAAGTACTGGAAAGTGGAGCCACAGAGTCCCTGGGATTGCCGGGCCAAGGGCATCGGCTCAAGCCCAAACAAGATAGAAGGCTCCAAAGGAGAAGGTCAGGGTGGAGGGGATGCAAGGTGCGGGACCTCTTCTCTCAAAAGGAGGAGCCGAAAAGTTTGGACCGAAGCTCATCTACGGAATCCCTGTCATCCCCACTCCCAGTCCAAACTCCTTCAACTCACACAGCCTCCCTGTCTTCACCCAGGGTCCCAAACTCCTGGACTGAACAGCTCCAGCTGGAGAAGAAGGGCTTTGTAACCAAAATGTCAAGAAACCCTTTGGAGGAGACCTCGTTTTCCACTCCAGAGAAACCCAAGGACCCCCAAACAAAGCAAGATGCCAGTGACCACAGGGACCAGTCTGTCACATGGAGTAACAAGAATGAGGATTTTAAATCGAAAGTCGTCTTGCTGAATACTGAGTTCCTTCAGTTGACCAGACACTCTTCAACCGTACAGCAGCTCACAATTTTGCCTAACAACCGTTCACTTTTTAGCCCTCAAGTCCAGAAGCTTCTAGAGGTGCACATTCAAAAGAGAGTGCATTTCCAGAGATGGGTCTCCCCCAGAGGTACAGAATCAATCCAACAACTCATGCCAGAAGCATGTCAACATTCTTGCCCTGGGAATCAAATAGTCCCTTTCTTCCCAAAGGAAGTCTCCAACGTATCTATAGCAGAGGTGAAGATTGCAGCCACCCATCCCTTGGCACTGCGGGGGACAGATCAGCCTGCTCAGCCCTTCCTGGGCTCTGAGATGATCCCTCCTGTTTTAGGAAAAGCAGAGCTGAGGAGAACTTCTGAAGAGTCCCCAAACTGCGTTAGCATGGCTCTGCCTCCTCCTTCCATCCCAGTCCTGACCAACTCCTGTCCCCTGAATGGGGGGACTACTCACGTCAAGAAGAACTGTCTGCAACAGAAGTACAGTCAACTGTTCTGCGGTCTCCCCTCTCTGCACAGTGAATCCCTGGTAGCCCCTTTCTGAGGCACGACTGCCTCTCCCCGCAGTAGCGTCTCCTCTTTGGACAGTACTTTCCTCTTCAATGAATTGTCCTTCCTCCCCTTGCTGCCACATTCTACCCCTCCTCCTTCTCCACCTATTCTGATTGGCAACAGCACCAAAGCCCCTGAAAAGACCCAAATCAATGTCCCATTTCTCCCGGTAGCTGAATGTGAAACCTTGGAGTGGCATCTACTACAGAGACAGCTCCAAATGCTATGGGGTCTACCCTCCTTCATCCAGATGAGTCAACAGTCCCAGAGACCCCTCGATCATGAACTCTGTGAGGCAGAACTTGTCCCCAAATGGATGTCTCTGTCCTCACAAGGGAGCTTTTTTTCTTCCCGGACCGTGCCAGGAGGCTCCTTGAGCTACATTTTCAGAAGCGGATCTTTCAGCATCAGCTAAGGCCACCTCAGTCATGCCAGAAGTCTGTTCCCTTGCTTCTGTCCTCAATTAACCAGCCACAAGTCCCTGAGAGCACCTCGATCGAAGTGACACTTCCCCAGAATGAAAATCCCCAACTCAAGATGGCTCAAGCACCTGCTCCCATTAGGACTCCTGCCCATTTCATCAAGCCTGAACCCTATGCCACAGCTAGGGTGACCGTGCAAATGCACATAGAGAAAAATGTCTGCAGATCAAACAAGGGAGCTTTCCAGACATCATATCTGGGTCATGGGACATTGGGAACCAATTGTCAGCGGGAGACCCTCCTACCCAGAGAACTTTGGAAGCTGCCCACTCCAATATGGAGTCAGAAGGCTTGGCTTTCCAAGAGCCAAATACAATAGAATGGATGGAGCTGAGTGTGCACCAACAGAAACTAACACCGCTGCATGAAACCATGAGGCAGCCAGACCAGGCTGTGACCCTCCCAGAGAGCGTAATGGAGAAACTGCAAATGATTTTGAGACACAAATACTTGACTTTCTTATCAGGATTACCAGCTCTTTTTTATGTGGCTCTCTATAGGGCAATGTCCCCTTTAGCTATTTCCCAAACGGATGTGCCTGGCATGGGGCAAGGGGTAGTAAAGGAACAAATTGACCCCATAAGCTACAGGATATGGGCTGAAGAACAATCAGTTCTCCCCAAAGCAGAGATTAATGATTCCACCACGAATTCTAGGGACACTGGAAATGAATTAGTGGTTTCACAACAGATAAACGTCTCAGAGGCAGTACCAGAAAGAGGAGGTGATGAGAAGAGTCCACAGGGAATAGGTGAACAAAGAGGGTTTGACTGCCCACAGCGTCCCTATTCGCCAAGTAAGTCTGTCATCTTGGCCAAGATGGATTCCCACCTAAGGAAGAAGGTGTTAGAAGTAAGTATGGGGATTCCCCAGAAAGCTATAGATCTCTGAAGCTCTGCAATTTTCTTTACCTGAGCCTGGCTTAGGACATGTTCCCACAGCTGGTAGTCCAGAAAGCCCCAAAGAACTACAAAGGATTCTCGGCAGACCAGGGAGCCAAGAGTTCCCAGAAATGTGCTCATTACCAGCGGCAAGAGATGTTGAGGTTCCAAGCTGGACGTATTTTAAGGAGCAGCTCTCCAATAAGCTGGAGCTCAGTTTGACGAGAACATCAGAGTACCAAACTCAAAGCTCCCCCACAGCTCTTTCCCTGACATCCCCCCAGATCCCAGGCTTCCAGGTTTGCAAGGTTACCCCGCCACACTCCCCGAAAAAGCCCAGTAGGGGCATGGCTGATGCTCAAGTGCTCCATGTACATATGGAAGTAGAACAGAGAAGCCCAAGCCAAGGGAAGTACTGGAAAGTGGAGCCACAGAGTCCCTGGGATTGCCGGGCCAAGGGCATCGGCTCAAGCCCAAACAAGATAGAAGGCTCCAAAGGAGAATCAGGGTGGAGGGGATGCAAGGTGCGGGACCTCTTCTCTCAAAAGGAGGAGCCGAAAAGTTTGGACCGAAGCTCATCTACGGAATCCCTGTCATCCCCACTCCCAGTCCAAACTCCTTCAACTCACACAGCCTCCCTGTCTTCACCCAGGGTCCCAAACTCCTGGACTGAACAGCTCCAGCTGGAGAAGAAGGGCTTTGTAACCAAAATGTCAAGAAACCCTTTGGAGGAGACCTCGTTTTCCACTCCAGAGAAACCCAAGGACCCCCAAACAAAGCAAGATGCCAGTGACCACAGGGACCAGTCTGTCACATGGAGTAACAAGAATGAGGATTTTAAATCGAAAGTCGTCTTGCTGAATACTGAGTTCCTTCAGTTGACCAGACACTCTTCAACCGTACAGCAGCTCACAATTTTGCCTAACAACCGTTCACTTTTTAGCCCTCAAGTCCAGAAGCTTCTAGAGGTGCACATTCAAAAGAGAGTGCATTTCCAGAGATGGGGTCTCCCCAGAGAGTACAGGAATCAATCCAACAACTCATGCCAGAAGCATGTCAACATTCTTGCCCTGGCAACCAAATAGTCCCTTTCTTCCCAAAGGAAGTCTCCAACGTATCTATAGCAGAGGTGAAGATTGCAGCCACCCATCCCTTGGCACTGCGGGGGACAGATCAGCCTGCTCAGCCCTTCCTGGGCTCTGAGATGATCCCTCCTGTTTTAGGAAAAGCAGAGCTGAGGAGAACTTCTGAAGAGTCCCCAAACTGCGTTAGCATGGCTCTGCCTCCTCCTTCCATCCCAGTCCTGACCAACTCCTGTCCCCTGAATGGGGGGACTACTCACGTCAAGAAGAACTGTCTGCAACAGAAGTACAGTCAACTGTTCTGCGGTCTCCCCTCTCTGCACAGTGAATCCCTGGTAGCCACCTTTCTGAGGCACGACTGCCTCTCCCCACGCAGTAGCGTCTCCTCTTTGGACAGTACTTTCCTCTTCAATGAATTGTCCTTCCTCCCCTTGCTGCCACATTCTACCCCTCCTCCTTCTCCACCTATTCTGATTGGCAACAGCACCAAAGCCCCTGAAAAGACCCAAATCAATGTCCCATTTCTCCCGGTAGCTGAATGTGAAACCTTGGAGTGGCATCTACTACAGAGACAGCTCCAAATGCTATGGGGTCTACCCTCCTTCATCCAGATGAGTCAACAGTCCCAGAGACCCCTCGATCATGAACTCTGTGAGGCAGAACTTGTCCCCAAATGAATGTCTCTGTCCTCACAAGGGAGCTTTTTTTCTTGCCGGACCGTGCCAGGAGGCTCCTTGAGCTACATTTTCAGAAGCGGATCCTTCAGCATCAGCTAAGGCCACCTCAGTCAGCCAGAAGTCTGTTCCCTTGCTTCTGTCCTCAATTAACCAGCCACAAGTCCCTGAGAGCACCTCGATCGAAGTGACACTTCCCCAGAATGAAAATCCCCAACTCAAGATGGCTCAAGCACCTGCTCCCATTAGGACTCCTGCCCATTTCATCAAGCCTGAACCCTATGCCACAGCTAGGGTGACCGTGCAAATGCACATAGAGAAAAAATGTCTGCAGATCAAACAAGGGAGCTTTCCAGACATCATATCTGGGTCATGGGACATTGGGAACCAATTGTCAGCGGGAGACCCTCCTACCCAGAGAACTTTGGAAGCTGCCCACTCCAATATGGAGTCAGAAGGCTTGGCTTTCCAAGAGCCAAATACAATAGAATGGATGGAGCTGAGTGTGCACCAACAGAAACTAACACCGCTGCATGAAACCATGAGGCAGCCAGACCAGGCTGTGACCCTCCCAGAGAGCGTAATGGAGAAACTGCAAATGATTTTGAGACACAAATACTTGACTTTCTTATCAGGATTACCAGCTCTTTATTATGTGGCTCTCTATAGGGCAATGTCCCCTTTAGCTATTTCCCAAACGGATGTGCCTGGCATGGGGCAAGGGTAGTAAAGGAACAAATTGACCCCATAAGCTACAGGATATGGGCTGAAGAACAATCAGTTCTCCCCAAAGCAGAGATTAATGATTCCACCACGAATTCTAGGGACACTGGAAATGAATTAGTGGTTTCACAACAGATAAACGTCTCAGAGGCAGTACCAGAAAGAGGAGGTGATGAGAAGAGTCCACAGGGAATAGGTGAACAAAGAGGGTTTGACTGCCCACAGCGTCCCTATTCGCCAAGTAAGTCTGTCATCTTGGCCAAGATGGATTCCCACCTAAGGAAGAAGGTGTTAGAAGTAAGTATGGGGATTCCCCAGAAAGCTATAGATCTCTGAAGCTCTGCAATTTTCTTTACCTGAGCCTGGCTTAGGACATGTTCCCACAGCTGGTAGTCCAGAAAGCCCCAAAGAACTACAAAGGATTCTCGGCAGACCAGGGAGCCAAGAGTTCCCAGAAATGTGCTCATTACCAGCGGCAAGAGATGTTGAGGTTCCAAGCTGGACGTATTTTAAGGAGCAGCTCTCCAATAAGCTGGAGCTCAGTTTGACGAGAACATCAGAGTACCAAACTCAAAGCTCCCCCACAGCTCTTTCCCTGACATCCCCCCAGATCCCAGGCTTCCAGGTTTGCAAGGTTACCCCGCCACACTCCCCGAAAAAGCCCAGTAGGGGCATGGCTGATGCTCAAGTGCTCCATGTACATATGGAAGTAGAACAGAGAAGCCCAAGCCAAGGGAAGTACTGGAAAGTGGAGCCACAGAGTCCCTGGGATTGCCGGGCCAAGGGCATCGGCTCAAGCCCAAACAAGATAGAAGGCTCCAAAGGAGAAGGTCAGGGTGGAGGGGATGCAAGGTGCGGGACCTCTTCTCTCAAAAGGAGGAGCCGAAAAGTTTGGACCGAAGCTCATCTACGGAATCCCTGTCATCCCCACTCCCAGTCCAAACTCCTTCAACTCACACAGCCTCCCTGTCTTCACCCAGGGTCCCAAACTCCTGGACTGAACAGCTCCAGCTGGAGAAGAAGGGCTTTGTAACCAAAATGTCAAGAAACCCTTTGGAGGAGACCTCGTTTTCCACTCCAGAGAAACCCAAGGACCCCCAAACAAAGCAAGATGCCAGTGACCACAGGGACCAGTCTGTCACATGGAGTAACAAGAATGAGGATTTTAAATCGAAAGTCGTCTTGCTGAATACTGAGTTCCTTCAGTTGACCAGACACTCTTCAACCGTACAGCAGCTCACAATTTTGCCTAACAACCGTTCACTTTTTAGCCTCAAGTCCAGAAGCTTCTAGAGGTGCACATTCAAAAGAGAGTGCATTTCCAGAGATGGGGTCTCCCCCAGAGAGTACAGGAATCAATCCAACAACTCATGCCAGAAGCATGTCAACATTCTTGCCCTGGGAATCAAATAGTCCCTTTCTTCCCAAAGGAAGTCTCCAACGTATCTATAGCAGAGGTGAAGATTGCAGCCACCCATCCCTTGGCACTGCGGGGGACAGATCAGCCTGCTCAGCCCTTCCTGGGCTCTGAGATGATCCCTCCTGTTTTAGGAAAAGCAGAGCTGAGGAGAACTTCTGAAGAGTCCCCAAACTGCGTTAGCATGGCTCTGCCTCCTCCTTCCATCCCAGTCCTGACCAACTCCTGTCCCCTGAATGGGGGGACTACTCACGTCAAGAAGAACTGTCTGCAACAGAAGTACAGTCAACTGTTCTGCGGTCTCCCCTCTCTGCACAGTGAATCCCTGGTAGCCACCTTTCTGAGGCACGACTGCCTCTCCCACGCAGTAGCGTCTCCTCTTTGGACAGTACTTTCCTCTTCAATGAATTGTCCTTCCTCCCCTTGCTGCCACATTCTACCCCTCCTCCTTCTCCACCTATTCTGATTGGCAACAGCACCAAAGCCCCTGAAAAGACCCAAATCAATGTCCCATTTCTCCCGGTAGCTGAATGTGAAACCTTGGAGTGGCATCTACTACAGAGACAGCTCCAAATGCTATGGGGTCTACCCTCCTTCATCCAGATGAGTCAACAGTCCCAGAGACCCCTCGATCATGAACTCTGTGAGGCAGAACTTGTCCCCAAATGAATGTCTCTGTCCTCACAAGGGAGCTTTTTTTCTTGCCGGACCGTGCCAGGAGGCTCCTTGAGCTACATTTTCAGAAGCGGATCCTTCAGCATCAGCTAAGGCCACCTCAGTCATGCCAGAAGTCTGTTCCCTTGCTTCTGTCCTCAATTAACCAGCCACAAGTCCCTGAGAGCACCTCGATCGAAGTGACACTTCCCCAGAATGAAAATCCCCAACTCAAGATGGCTCAAGCACCTGCTCCCATTAGGACTCCTGCCCATTTCATCAAGCCTGAACCCTATGCCACAGCTAGGGTGACCGTGCAAATGCACATAGAGAAAAAATGTCTGCAGATCAAACAAGGGAGCTTTCCAGACATCATATCTGGGTCATGGGACATTGGGAACCAATTGTCAGCGGGAGACCCTCCTACCCAGAGAACTTTGGAAGCTGCCCACTCCAATATGGAGTCAGAAGGCTTGGCTTTCCAAGAGCCAAATACAATAGAATGGATGGAGCTGAGTGTGCACCAACAGAAACTAACACCGCTGCATGAAACCATGAGGCAGCCAGACCAGGCTGTGACCCTCCCAGAGAGCGTAATGGAGAAACTGCAAATGATTTTGAGACACAAATACTTGACTTTCTTATCAGGATTACCAGCTCTTTATTATGTGGCTCTCTATAGGGCAATGTCCCCTTTAGCTATTTCCCAAACGGATGTGCCTGGCATGGGGCAAGGGGTAGTAAAGGAACAAATTGACCCCATAAGCTACAGGATATGGGCTGAAGAACAATCAGTTCTCCCCAAAGCAGAGATTAATGATTCCACCACGAATTCTAGGGACACTGGAAATGAATTAGTGGTTTCACAACAGATAAACGTCTCAGAGGCAGTACCAGAAAGAGGAGGTGATGAGAAGAGTCCACAGGGAATAGGTGAACAAAGAGGGTTTGACTGCCCACAGCGTCCCTATTCGCCAAGTAAGTCTGTCATCTTGGCCAAGATGGATTCCCACCTAAGGAAGAAGGTGTTAGAAGTAAGTATGGGGATTCCCCAGAAAGCTATAGATCTCTGAAGCTCTGCAATTTTCTTTACCTGAGCCTGGCTTAGGACATGTTCCCACAGCTGGTAGTCCAGAAAGCCCCAAAGAACTACAAAGGATTCTCGGCAGACCAGGGAGCCAAGAGTTCCCAGAAATGTGCTCATTACCAGCGGCAAGAGATGTTGAGGTTCCAAGCTGGACGTATTTTAAGGAGCAGCTCTCCAATAAGCTGGAGCTCAGTTTGACGAGAACATCAGAGTACCAAACTCAAAGCTCCCCCACAGCTCTTTCCCTGACATCCCCCCAGATCCCAGGCTTCCAGGTTTGCAAGGTTACCCCGCCACACTCCCCGAAAAAGCCCAGTAGGGGCATGGCTGATGCTCAAGTGCTCCATGTACATATGGAAGTAGAACAGAGAAGCCCAAGCCAAGGGAAGTACTGGAAAGTGGAGCCACAGAGTCCCTGGGATTGCCGGGCCAAGGGCATCGGCTCAAGCCCAAACAAGATAGAAGGCTCCAAAGGAGAAGTCAGGGTGGAGGGGATGCAAGGTGCGGGACCTTTCTCTCAAAAGGAGGAGCCGAAAAGTTTGGACCGAAGCTCATCTACGGAATCCCTGTCATCCCCACTCCCAGTCCAAACTCCTTCAACTCACACAGCCTCCCTGTCTTCACCCAGGGTCCCAAACTCCTGGACTGAACAGCTCCAGCTGGAGAAGAAGGGCTTTGTAACCAAAATGTCAAGAAACCCTTTGGAGGAGACCTCGTTTTCCACTCCAGAGAAACCCAAGGACCCCCAAACAAAGCAAGATGCCAGTGACCACAGGGACCAGTCTGTCACATGGAGTAACAAGAATGAGGATTTTAAATCGAAAGTCGTCTTGCTGAATACTGAGTTCCTTCAGTTGACCAGACACTCTTCAACCGTACAGCAGCTCACAATTTTGCCTAACAACCGTTCACTTTTTAGCCCTCAAGTCCAGAAGCTTCTAGAGGTGCACATTCAAAAGAGAGTGCATTTCCAGAGATGGGGTCTCCCCCAGAGAGTACAGGAATCAATCCAACAACTCATGCCAGAAGCATGTCAACATTCTTGCCCTGGGAATCAAATAGTCCCTTTCTTCCCAAAGGAAGTCTCCAACGTATCTATAGCAGAGGTGAAGATTGCAGCCACCCATCCCTTGGCACTGCGGGGGACAGATCAGCCTGCTCAGCCCTTCCTGGGCTCTGAGATGATCCCTCCTGTTTTAGGAAAAGCAGAGCTGAGGAGAACTTCTGAAGAGTCCCCAAACTGCGTTAGCATGGCTCTGCCTCCTCCTTCCATCCCAGTCCTGACCAACTCCTGTCCCCTGAATGGGGGGACTACTCACGTCAAGAAGAACTGTCTGCAACAGAAGTACAGTCAACTGTTCTGCGGTCTCCCCTCTCTGCACAGTGAATCCCTGGTAGCCACCTTTCTGAGGCACGACTGCCTCTCCCCCAGCAGTAGCGTCTCCTCTTTGGACAGTACTTTCCTCTTCAATGAATTGTCCTTCCTCCCCTTGCTGCCACATTCTACCCCTCCTCCTTCTCCACCTATTCTGATTGGCAACAGCACCAAAGCCCCTGAAAAGACCCAAATCAATGTCCCATTTCTCCCGGTAGCTGAATGTGAAACCTTGGAGTGGCATCTACTACAGAGACAGCTCCAAATGCTATGGGGTCTACCCTCCTTCATCCAGATGAGTCAACAGTCCCAGAGACCCCTCGATCATGAACTCTGTGAGGCAGAACTTGTCCCCAAATGAATGTCTCTGTCCTCACAAGGGAGCTTTTTTTCTTGCCGGACCGTGCCAGGAGGCTCCTTGAGCTACATTTTCAGAAGCGGATCCTTCAGCATCAGCTAAGGCCACCTCAGTCAGCCAGAAGTCTGTTCCCTTGCTTCTGTCCTCAATTAACCAGCCACAAGTCCCTGAGAGCACCTCGATCGAAGTGACACTTCCCCAGAATGAAAATCCCCAACTCAAGATGGCTCAAGCACCTGCTCCCATTAGGACTCCTGCCCATTTCATCAAGCCTGAACCCTATGCCACAGCTAGGGTGACCGTGCAAATGCACATAGAGAAAAAATGTCTGCAGATCAAACAAGGGAGCTTTCCAGACATCATATCTGGGTCATGGGACATTGGGAACCAATTGTCAGCGGGAGACCCTCCTACCCAGAGAACTTTGGAAGCTGCCCACTCCAATATGGAGTCAGAAGGCTTGGCTTTCCAAGAGCCAAATACAATAGAATGGATGGAGCTGAGTGTGCACCAACAGAAACTAACACCGCTGCATGAAACCATGAGGCAGCCAGACCAGGCTGTGACCCTCCCAGAGAGCGTAATGGAGAAACTGCAAATGATTTTGAGACACAAATACTTGACTTTCTTATCAGGATTACCAGCTCTTTATTATGTGGCTCTCTATAGGGCAATGTCCCCTTTAGCTATTTCCCAAACGGATGTGCCTGGCATGGGGCAAGGGGTAGTAAAGGAACAAATTGACCCCATAAGCTACAGGATATGGGCTGAAGAACAATCAGTTCTCCCCAAAGCAGAGATTAATGATTCCACCACGAATTCTAGGGACACTGGAAATGAATTAGTGGTTTCACAACAGATAAACGTCTCAGAGGCAGTACCAGAAAGAGGAGGTGATGAGAAGAGTCCACAGGGAATAGGTGAACAAAGAGGGTTTGACTGCCCACAGCGTCCCTATTCGCCAAGTAAGTCTGTCATCTTGGCCAAGATGGATTCCCACCTAAGGAAGAAGGTGTTAGAAGTAAGTATGGGGATTCCCCAGAAAGCTATAGATCTCTGAAGCTCTGCAATTTTCTTTACCTGAGCCTGGCTTAGGACATGTTCCCACAGCTGGTAGTCCAGAAAGCCCCAAAGAACTACAAAGGATTCTCGGCAGACCAGGGAGCCAAGAGTTCCCAGAAATGTGCTCATTACCAGCGGCAAGAGATGTTGAGGTTCCAAGCTGGACGTATTTTAAGGAGCAGCTCTCCAATAAGCTGGAGCTCAGTTTGACGAGAACATCAGAGTACCAAACTCAAAGCTCCCCCACAGCTCTTTCCCTGACATCCCCCCAGATCCCAGGCTTCCAGGTTTGCAAGGTTACCCCGCCACACTCCCCGAAAAAGCCCAGTAGGGGCATGGCTGATGCTCAAGTGCTCCATGTACATATGGAAGTAGAACAGAGAAGCCCAAGCCAAGGGAAGTACTGGAAAGTGGAGCCACAGAGTCCCTGGGATTGCCGGGCCAAGGGCATCGGCTCAAGCCCAAACAAGATAGAAGGCTCCAAAGGAGAAGATCAGGGTGGAGGGGATGCAAGGTGCGGGACCTCTTCTCTCAAAAGGAGGAGCCGAAAAGTTTGGACCGAAGCTCATCTACGGAATCCCTGTCATCCCCACTCCCAGTCCAAACTCCTTCAACTCACACAGCCTCCCTGTCTTCACCCAGGGTCCCAAACTCCTGGACTGAACAGCTCCAGCTGGAGAAGAAGGGCTTTGTAACCAAAATGTCAAGAAACCCTTTGGAGGAGACCTCGTTTTCCACTCCAGAGAAACCCAAGGACCCCCAAACAAAGCAAGATGCCAGTGACCACAGGGACCAGTCTGTCACATGGAGTAACAAGAATGAGGATTTTAAATCGAAAGTCGTCTTGCTGAATACTGAGTTCCTTCAGTTGACCAGACACTCTTCAACCGTACAGCAGCTCACAATTTTGCCTAACAACCGTTCACTTTTTAGCCCTCAAGTCCAGAAGCTTCTAGAGGTGCACATTCAAAAGAGAGTGCATTTCCAGAGATGGGGTCTCCCCCAGAGAGTACAGGAATCAATCCAACAACTCATGCCAGAAGCATGTCAACATTCTTGCCCTGGGAATCAAATAGTCCCTTTCTTCCCAAAGGAAGTCTCCAACGTATCTATAGCAGAGGTGAAGATTGCAGCCACCCATCCCTTGGCACTGCGGGGGACAGATCAGCCTGCTCAGCCCTTCCTGGGCTCTGAGATGATCCCTCCTGTTTTAGGAAAAGCAGAGCTGAGGAGAACTTCTGAAGAGTCCCCAAACTGCGTTAGCATGGCTCTGCCTCCTCCTTCCATCCCAGTCCTGACCAACTCCTGTCCCCTGAATGGGGGGACTACTCACGTCAAGAAGAACTGTCTGCAACAGAAGTACAGTCAACTGTTCTGCGGTCTCCCCTCTCTGCACAGTGAATCCCTGGTAGCCACCTTTCTGAGGCACGACTGCCTCTCCCCACGCAGTAGCGTCTCCTCTTTGGACAGTACTTTCCTCTTCAATGAATTGTCCTTCCTCCCCTTGCTGCCACATTCTACCCCTCCTCCTTCTCCACCTATTCTGATTGGCAACAGCACCAAAGCCCCTGAAAAGACCCAAATCAATGTCCCATTTCTCCCGGTAGCTGAATGTGAAACCTTGGAGTGGCATCTACTACAGAGACAGCTCCAAATGCTATGGGGTCTACCCTCCTTCATCCAGATGAGTCAACAGTCCCAGAGACCCCTCGATCATGAACTCTGTGAGGCAGAACTTGTCCCCAAATGAATGTCTCTGTCCTCACAAGGGAGCTTTTTTTCTTGCCGGACCGTGCCAGGAGGCTCCTTGAGCTACATTTTCAGAAGCGGATCCTTCAGCATCAGCTAAGGCCACCTCAGTCAAGCCAGAAGTCTGTTCCCTTGCTTCTGTCCTCAATTAACCAGCCACAAGTCCCTGAGAGCACCTCGATCGAAGTGACACTTCCCCAGAATGAAAATCCCCAACTCAAGATGGCTCAAGCACCTGCTCCCATTAGGACTCCTGCCCATTTCATCAAGCCTGAACCCTATGCCACAGCTAGGGTGACCGTGCAAATGCACATAGAGAAAAAATGTCTGCAGATCAAACAAGGGAGCTTTCCAGACATCATATCTGGGTCATGGGACATTGGGAACCAATTGTCAGCGGGAGACCCTCCTACCCAGAGAACTTTGGAAGCTGCCCACTCCAATATGGAGTCAGAAGGCTTGGCTTTCCAAGAGCCAAATACAATAGAATGGATGGAGCTGAGTGTGCACCAACAGAAACTAACACCGCTGCATGAAACCATGAGGCAGCCAGACCAGGCTGTGACCCTCCCAGAGAGCGTAATGGAGAAACTGCAAATGATTTTGAGACACAAATACTTGACTTTCTTATCAGGATTACCAGCTCTTTATTATGTGGCTCTCTATAGGGCAATGTCCCCTTTAGCTATTTCCCAAACGGATGTGCCTGGCATGGGGCAAGGGGTAGTAAAGGAACAAATTGACCCCATAAGCTACAGGATATGGGCTGAAGAACAATCAGTTCTCCCCAAAGCAGAGATTAATGATTCCACCACGAATTCTAGGGACACTGGAAATGAATTAGTGGTTTCACAACAGATAAACGTCTCAGAGGCAGTACCAGAAAGAGGAGGTGATGAGAAGAGTCCACAGGGAATAGGTGAACAAAGAGGGTTTGACTGCCCACAGCGTCCCTATTCGCCAAGTAAGTCTGTCATCTTGGCCAAGATGGATTCCCACCTAAGGAAGAAGGTGTTAGAAGTAAGTATGGGGATTCCCCAGAAAGCTATATAGATCTCTGAAGCTCTGCAATTTTCTTTACCTGAGCCTGGCTTAGGACATGTTCCCACAGCTGGTAGTCCAGAAAGCCCCAAAGAACTACAAAGGATTCTCGGCAGACCAGGGAGCCAAGAGTTCCCAGAAATGTGCTCATTACCAGCGGCAAGAGATGTTGAGGTTCCAAGCTGGACGTATTTTAAGGAGCAGCTCTCCAATAAGCTGGAGCTCAGTTTGACGAGAACATCAGAGTACCAAACTCAAAGCTCCCCCACAGCTCTTTCCCTGACATCCCCCCAGATCCCAGGCTTCCAGGTTTGCAAGGTTACCCCGCCACACTCCCCGAAAAAGCCCAGTAGGGGCATGGCTGATGCTCAAGTGCTCCATGTACATATGGAAGTAGAACAGAGAAGCCCAAGCCAAGGGAAGTACTGGAAAGTGGAGCCACAGAGTCCCTGGGATTGCCGGGCCAAGGGCATCGGCTCAAGCCCAAACAAGATAGAAGGCTCCAAAGGAGAAGATCAGGGTGGAGGGGATGCAAGGTGCGGGACCTCTTCTCTCAAAAGGAGGAGCCGAAAAGTTTGGACCGAAGCTCATCTACGGAATCCCTGTCATCCCCACTCCCAGTCCAAACTCCTTCAACTCACACAGCCTCCCTGTCTTCACCCAGGTCCCAAACTCCTGGACTGAACAGCTCCAGCTGGAGAAGAAGGGCTTTGTAACCAAAATGTCAAGAAACCCTTTGGAGGAGACCTCGTTTTCCACTCCAGAGAAACCCAAGGACCCCCAAACAAAGCAAGATGCCAGTGACCACAGGGACCAGTCTGTCACATGGAGTAACAAGAATGAGGATTTTAAATCGAAAGTCGTCTTGCTGAATACTGAGTTCCTTCAGTTGACCAGACACTCTTCAACCGTACAGCAGCTCACAATTTTGCCTAACAACCGTTCACTTTTTAGCCCTCAAGTCCAGAAGCTTCTAGAGGTGCACATTCAAAAGAGAGTGCATTTCCAGAGATGGGGTCTCCCCCAGAGAGTACAGGAATCAATCCAACAACTCATGCCAGAAGCATGTCAACATTCTTGCCCTGGGAATCAAATAGTCCCTTTCTTCCCAAAGGAAGTCTCCAACGTATCTATAGCAGAGGTGAAGATTGCAGCCACCCATCCCTTGGCACTGCGGGGGACAGATCAGCCTGCTCAGCCCTTCCTGGGCTCTGAGATGATCCCTCCTGTTTTAGGAAAAGCAGAGCTGAGGAGAACTTCTGAAGAGTCCCCAAACTGCGTTAGCATGGCTCTGCCTCCTCCTTCCATCCCAGTCCTGACCAACTCCTGTCCCCTGAATGGGGGGACTACTCACGTCAAGAAGAACTGTCTGCAACAGAAGTACAGTCAACTGTTCTGCGGTCTCCCCTCTCTGCACAGTGAATCCCTGGTAGCCACCTTTCTGAGGCACGACTGCCTCTCCCCACGCAGTAGCGTCTCCTCTTTGGACAGTACTTTCCTCTTCAATGAATTGTCCTTCCTCCCCTTGCTGCCACATTCTACCCCTCCTCCTTCTCCACCTATTCTGATTGGCAACAGCACCAAAGCCCCTGAAAAGACCCAAATCAATGTCCCATTTCTCCGGTAGCTGAATGTGAAACCTTGGAGTGGCATCTACTACAGAGACAGCTCCAAATGCTATGGGGTCTACCCTCCTTCATCCAGATGAGTCAACAGTCCCAGAGACCCCTCGATCATGAACTCTGTGAGGCAGAACTTGTCCCCAAATGAATGTCTCTGTCCTCACAAGGGAGCTTTTTTTCTTGCCGGACCGTGCCAGGAGGCTCCTTGAGCTACATTTTCAGAAGCGGATCCTTCAGTATCAGCTAAGGCCACCTCAGTCAAGCCAGAAGTCTGTTCCCTTGCTTCTGTCCTCAATTAACCAGCCACAAGTCCCTGAGAGCACCTCGATCGAAGTGACACTTCCCCAGAATGAAAATCCCCAACTCAAGATGGCTCAAGCACCTGCTCCCATTAGGACTCCTGCCCATTTCATCAAGCCTGAACCCTATGCCACAGCTAGGGTGACCGTGCAAATGCACATAGAGAAAAAATGTCTGCAGATCAAACAAGGGAGCTTTCCAGACATCATATCTGGGTCATGGGACATTGGGAACCAATTGTCAGCGGGAGACCCTCCTACCCAGAGAACTTTGGAAGCTGCCCACTCCAATATGGAGTCAGAAGGCTTGGCTTTCCAAGAGCCAAATACAATAGAATGGATGGAGCTGAGTGTGCACCAACAGAAACTAACACCGCTGCATGAAACCATGAGGCAGCCAGACCAGGCTGTGACCCTCCCAGAGAGCGTAATGGAGAAACTGCAAATGATTTTGAGACACAAATACTTGACTTTCTTATCAGGATTACCAGCTCTTTATTATGTGGCTCTCTATAGGGCAATGTCCCCTTTAGCTATTTCCCAAACGGATGTGCCTGGCATGGGGCAAGGGGTAGTAAAGGAACAAATTGACCCCATAAGCTACAGGATATGGGCTGAAGAACAATCAGTTCTCCCCAAAGCAGAGATTAATGATTCCACCACGAATTCTAGGGACACTGGAAATGAATTAGTGGTTTCACAACAGATAAACGTCTCAGAGGCAGTACCAGAAAGAGGAGGTGATGAGAAGAGTCCACAGGGAATAGGTGAACAAAGAGGGTTTGACTGCCCACAGCGTCCCTATTCGCCAAGTAAGTCTGTCATCTTGGCCAAGATGGATTCCCACCTAAGGAAGAAGGTGTTAGAAGTAAGTATGGGGATTCCCCAGAAAGCTATAGATTCTGAATCTCTGAAGCTCTGCAATTTTCTTTACCTGAGCCTGGCTTAGGACATGTTCCCACAGCTGGTAGTCCAGAAAGCCCCAAAGAACTACAAAGGATTCTCGGCAGACCAGGGAGCCAAGAGTTCCCAGAAATGTGCTCATTACCAGCGGCAAGAGATGTTGAGGTTCCAAGCTGGACGTATTTTAAGGAGCAGCTCTCCAATAAGCTGGAGCTCAGTTTGACGAGAACATCAGAGTACCAAACTCAAAGCTCCCCCACAGCTCTTTCCCTGACATCCCCCCAGATCCCAGGCTTCCAGGTTTGCAAGGTTACCCGCCACACTCCCCGAAAAAGCCCAGTAGGGGCATGGCTGATGCTCAAGTGCTCCATGTACATATGGAAGTAGAACAGAGAAGCCCAAGCCAAGGGAAGTACTGGAAAGTGGAGCCACAGAGTCCCTGGGATTGCCGGGCCAAGGGCATCGGCTCAAGCCCAAACAAGATAGAAGGCTCCAAAGGAGAAGTCAGGGTGGAGGGGATGCAAGGTGCGGGACCTCTTCTCTCAAAAGGAGGAGCCGAAAAGTTTGGACCGAAGCTCATCTACGGAATCCCTGTCATCCCCACTCCCAGTCCAAACTCCTTCAACTCACACAGCCTCCCTGTCTTCACCCAGGGTCCCAAACTCCTGGACTGAACAGCTCCAGCTGGAGAAGAAGGGCTTTGTAACCAAAATGTCAAGAAACCCTTTGGAGGAGACCTCGTTTTCCACTCCAGAGAAACCCAAGGACCCCCAAACAAAGCAAGATGCCAGTGACCACAGGGACCAGTCTGTCACATGGAGTAACAAGAATGAGGATTTTAAATCGAAAGTCGTCTTGCTGAATACTGAGTTCCTTCAGTTGACCAGACACTCTTCAACCGTACAGCAGCTCACAATTTTGCCTAACAACCGTTCACTTTTTAGCCCTCAAGTCCAGAAGCTTCTAGAGGTGCACATTCAAAAGAGAGTGCATTTCCAGAGATGGGGTCTCCCCCAGAGAGTACAGGAATCAATCCAACAACTCATGCCAGAAGCATGTCAACATTCTTGCCCTGGGAATCAAATAGTCCCTTTCTTCCCAAAGGAAGTCTCCAACGTATCTATAGCAGAGGTGAAGATTGCAGCCACCCATCCCTTGGCACTGCGGGGGACAGATCAGCCTGCTCAGCCCTTCCTGGGCTCTGAGATGATCCCTCCTGTTTTAGGAAAAGCAGAGCTGAGGAGAACTTCTGAAGAGTCCCCAAACTGCGTTAGCATGGCTCTGCCTCCTCCTTCCATCCCAGTCCTGACCAACTCCTGTCCCCTGAATGGGGGGACTACTCACGTCAAGAAGAACTGTCTGCAACAGAAGTACAGTCAACTGTTCTGCGGTCTCCCCTCTCTGCACAGTGAATCCCTGGTAGCCACCTTTCTGAGGCACGACTGCCTCTCCCCGCGCAGTAGCGTCTCCTCTTTGGACAGTACTTTCCTCTTCAATGAATTGTCCTTCCTCCCCTTGCTGCCACATTCTACCCCTCCTCCTTCTCCACCTATTCTGATTGGCAACAGCACCAAAGCCCCTGAAAAGACCCAAATCAATGTCCCATTTCTCCCGGTAGCTGAATGTGAAACCTTGGAGTGGCATCTACTACAGAGACAGCTCCAAATGCTATGGGGTCTACCCTCCTTCATCCAGATGAGTCAACAGTCCCAGAGACCCCTCGATCATGAACTCTGTGAGGCAGAACTTGTCCCCAAATGAATGTCTCTGTCCTCACAAGGGAGCTTTTTTTCTTGCCGGACCGTGCCAGGAGGCTCCTTGAGCTACATTTTCAGAAGCGGATCCTTCAGCATCAGCTAAGGCCACCTCAGTCATGCCAGAAGTCTGTTCCCTTGCTTCTGTCCTCAATTAACCAGCCACAAGTCCCTGAGAGCACCTCGATCGAAGTGACACTTCCCAGAATGAAAATCCCCAACTCAAGATGGCTCAAGCACCTGCTCCCATTAGGACTCCTGCCCATTTCATCAAGCCTGAACCCTATGCCACAGCTAGGGTGACCGTGCAAATGCACATAGAGAAAAAATGTCTGCAGATCAAACAAGGGAGCTTTCCAGACATCATATCTGGGTCATGGGACATTGGGAACCAATTGTCAGCGGGAGACCCTCCTACCCAGAGAACTTTGGAAGCTGCCCACTCCAATATGGAGTCAGAAGGCTTGGCTTTCCAAGAGCCAAATACAATAGAATGGATGGAGCTGAGTGTGCACCAACAGAAACTAACACCGCTGCATGAAACCATGAGGCAGCCAGACCAGGCTGTGACCCTCCCAGAGAGCGTAATGGAGAAACTGCAAATGATTTTGAGACACAAATACTTGACTTTCTTATCAGGATTACCAGCTCTTTATTATGTGGCTCTCTATAGGGCAATGTCCCCTTTAGCTATTTCCCAAACGGATGTGCCTGGCATGGGGCAAGGGGTAGTAAAGGAACAAATTGACCCCATAAGCTACAGGATATGGGCTGAAGAACAATCAGTTCTCCCCAAAGCAGAGATTAATGATTCCACCACGAATTCTAGGGACACTGGAAATGAATTAGTGGTTTCACAACAGATAAACGTCTCAGAGGCAGTACCAGAAAGAGGAGGTGATGAGAAGAGTCCACAGGGAATAGGTGAACAAAGAGGGTTTGACTGCCCACAGCGTCCCTATTCGCCAAGTAAGTCTGTCATCTTGGCCAAGATGGATTCCCACCTAAGGAAGAAGGTGTTAGAAGTAAGTATGGGGATTCCCCAGAAAGCTATAGATTCTAGGGAACTCTCTGAAGCTCTGCAATTTTCTTTACCTGAGCCTGGCTTAGGACATGTTCCACAGCTGGTAGTCCAGAAAGCCCCAAAGAACTACAAAGGATTCTCGGCAGACCAGGGGCCAAGAGTTCCCAGAAATGTGCTCATTACCAGCGGCAAGAGATGTTGAGGTTCCAAGCTGGACGTATTTTAAGGAGCAGCTCTCCAATAAGCTGGAGCTCAGTTTGACGAGAACATCAGAGTACCAAACTCAAAGCTCCCCCACAGCTCTTTCCCTGACATCCCCCAGATCCAGGCTTCCAGGTTTGCAAGGTTACCCGCCACACTCCCCGAAAAAGCCCAGTAGGGGCATGGCTGATGCTCAAGTGCTCCATGTACATATGGAAGTAGAACAGAGAAGCCCAAGCCAAGGGAAGTACTGGAAAGTGGAGCCACAGAGTCCCTGGGATTGCCGGGCCAAGGGCATCGGCTCAAGCCCAAACAAGATAGAAGGCTCCAAAGGAGAAGGTCAGGGTGGAGGGGATGCAAGGTGCGGGACCTCTTCTCTCAAAGGAGGAGCCGAAAAGTTTGGACCGAAGCTCATCTACGGAATCCCTGTCATCCCCACTCCCAGTCCAAACTCCTTCAACTCACACAGCCTCCCTGTCTTCACCCAGGGTCCCAAACTCCTGGACTGAACAGCTCCAGCTGGAGAAGAAGGGCTTTGTAACCAAAATGTCAAGAAACCCTTTGGAGGAGACCTCGTTTTCCACTCCAGAGAAACCCAAGGACCCCCAAACAAAGCAAGATGCCAGTGACCACAGGGACCAGTCTGTCACATGGAGTAACAAGAATGAGGATTTTAAATCGAAAGTCGTCTTGCTGAATACTGAGTTCCTTCAGTTGACCAGACACTCTTCAACCGTACAGCAGCTCACAATTTTGCCTAACAACCGTTCACTTTTTAGCCCTCAAGTCCAGAAGCTTCTAGAGGTGCACATTCAAAAGAGAGTGCATTTCCAGAGATGGGGTCTCCCCCAGAGAGTACAGGAATCAATCCAACAACTCATGCCAGAAGCATGTCAACATTCTTGCCCTGGGAATCAAATAGTCCCTTTCTTCCCAAAGGAAGTCTCCAACGTATCTATAGCAGAGGTGAAGATTGCAGCCACCCATCCCTTGGCACTGCGGGGGACAGATCAGCCTGCTCAGCCCTTCCTGGGCTCTGAGATGATCCCTCCTGTTTTAGGAAAAGCAGAGCTGAGGAGAACTTCTGAAGAGTCCCCAAACTGCGTTAGCATGGCTCTGCCTCCTCCTTCCATCCCAGTCCTGACCAACTCCTGTCCCCTGAATGGGGGACTACTCACGTCAAGAAGAACTGTCTGCAACAGAAGTAGTCAACTGTTCTGCGGTCTCCCCTCTCTGCACAGTGAATCCCTGGTAGCCACCTTTCTGAGGCACGACTGCCTCTCCCGCAGTAGCGTCTCTCTTTGGACAGTACTTTCCTCTTCAATGAATTGTCCTTCCTCCCCTTGCTGCCACATTCTACCCCTCCTCCTTCTCCACCTATTCTGATTGGCAACAGCACCAAAGCCCCTGAAAAGACCCAAATCAATGTCCCATTTCTCCCGGTAGCTGAATGTGAAACCTTGGAGTGGCATCTACTACAGAGACAGCTCCAAATGCTATGGGGTCTACCCTCCTTCATCCAGATGAGTCAACAGTCCCAGAGACCCTCGATCATGAACTCTGTGAGGCAGAACTTGTCCCAAATGAATGTCTCTGTCCTCACAAGGGAGCTTTTTTTCTTGCCGGACCGTGCCAGGAGGCTCCTTGAGCTACATTTTCAGAAGCGGATCCTTCAGCATCAGCTAAGGCCACCTCAGTCAAGCCAGAAGTCTGTTCCCTTGCTTCTGTCCTCAATTAACCAGCCACAAGTCCCTGAGAGCACCTCGATCGAAGTGACACTTCCCCAGAATGAAAATCCCCAACTCAAGATGGCTCAAGCACCTGCTCCCATTAGGACTCCTGCCCATTTCATCAAGCCTGAACCCTATGCACAGCTAGGGTGACCGTGCAAATGCACATAGAGAAAAAATGTCTGCAGATCAAACAAGGGAGCTTTCCAGACATCATATCTGGGTCATGGGACATTGGGAACCAATTGTCAGCGGGAGACCCTCCTACCCAGAGAACTTTGGAAGCTGCCCACTCCAATATGGAGTCAGAAGGCTTGGCTTTCCAAGAGCCAAATACAATAGAATGGATGGAGCTGAGTGTGCACCAACAGAAACTAACACCGCTGCATGAAACCATGAGGCAGCCAGACCAGGCTGTGACCCTCCCAGAGAGCGTAATGGAGAAACTGCAAATGATTTTGAGACACAAATACTTGACTTTCTTATCAGGATTACCAGCTCTTTATTATGTGGCTCTCTATAGGGCAATGTCCCTTTAGCTATTTCCCAAACGGATGTGCCTGGCATGGGGCAAGGGGTAGTAAAGGAACAAATTGACCCCATAAGCTACAGGATATGGGCTGAAGAACAATCAGTTCTCCCCAAAGCAGAGATTAATGATTCCACACGAATTCTAGGGACACTGGAAATGAATTAGTGGTTTCACAACAGATAAACGTCTCAGAGGCAGTACCAGAAAGAGGAGGTGATGAGAAGAGTCCACAGGGAATAGGTGAACAAAGAGGGTTTGACTGCCCACAGCGTCCCTATTCGCCAAGTAAGTCTGTCATCTTGGCCAAGATGGATTCCCACCTAAGGAAGAAGGTGTTAGAAGTAAGTATGGGGATTCCCAGAAAGCTATAGATTCTAGGAATCTCTGAAGCTCTGCAATTTTCTTTACCTGAGCCTGGCTTAGGACATGTTCCCACAGCTGGTAGTCCAGAAAGCCCCAAAGAACTACAAAGGATTCTCGGCAGACCAGGGAGCCAAGAGTTCCCAGAAATGTGCTCATTACCAGCGGCAAGA